GCCCAAAGAGTAAGGAAGTACTTTAAAAAACAGCGATGAGGGCATATCAGAAGAATAGAAGAACCAACTTAAAAAAATATTTTGATAATGAAATTCCCAAACTGAGCAAGAAAATAAATACCATAGTACTAGATTATAACCCAAAGTGTAAGATATGAGTCTATACTGGCAAACAAATTGAATACATAAATAAATAGAGGGTGATAGGACAAATCTTCTTCATGAAGAATTCCAAATAATATGGACAGATGACGCTCCCTTCAAGAGGTGGAGCTAAATAACCACTCTCCCCCACACCCCGTCTCTAACTTGCTTTCAAAAAACAGAGTATGGAAAGGGAATTTCATAATGGAGAAGCCCAGGAAATATGTACTAACTTAACCAAATGATCAAGATTAATATCCATAATGAGTAGGCAGGGTGATTTTAGTAAAGGACAGCCTGAGAAAATGACACAGAGAAAGACAGGATGACTAAGTATGATGTGGACTGGATACTGGAACAACCTAGTCTAATCAGGAGAAAAACACCTAACTATCCCTAGTCAAGAGCTATTGTACAAAATGCTTGACCTGTCATTTCAAAACTATCCAGGTCACCAAAATAAGAAGAGGAGCCTAAAGAGGTATGATTACTACATGTAGTATGGTTTCCTGGATGGGATTCTAGAATAGAAAAGGTATATAAAATAAATCTAAGGATATCTGAATGAAGAATGGCCTTTGACTAATGATAATTTATAACAGAGTTTCATTTATCACAAAAAACAACACACTAAGATAAGATGCTAATAACAGAAGAAATTGGGTGTGGGGTATATATCTGTACTTTGTGGTAATTCTACATACCTAAAACTGTTCTAAAATATAAAGGTTAATGACTTTTTAAAAAAAGACATTAGTGGTAGAGGCAAAATCTTAATAGAATCCATAGATAATAATAACCTATCAATGTTAATATCTTAGTTTTGACTATGTACCATGTCAAATATACCATGGTTACAGAAGGATGTTACCATGAGGTGGGGTGGGGTTAGCTCTGAGGTAGGGTGCTTTCCTAGCATGTATGAGGCCCTGGTTCAATCCTCAGAACTATAAAACAATAAAAATATTAGGAAAAAAATGATGGAAGTTGTGTGGAAACTCTTCTTTGCATGCTTACTATAAATTTACAATAGTTATTTTTTTAATGAGCAAAAATATCTGAACTGACGCTTTAGAAGCTATACAACTGACCAATAGGATGTGAAAAATATGCATCAGAGAAATGCAGTCTGTAAGTATTATGTATTAGAAACATATACTAAGAAAAACAACAAAAAGAAATACAATTTAGAATCAAAACCAGGAAATACAACATAAACATGACAATACTCCCCCCTTTTTTTCTAGTACTGAGACTTGAACACAGGGCCTTTGCACTGAGCTACCTCTCCACATCTTTTTTATTTTTTGAGACAGGCTCTCCCTAAATTGCTAAATTGGTCAGTTTATGATCTTCCTGCCTTAGCCTCTTGGGAGTGCCAGGATTACAGGTACATGCCACTCCACCCCAGATAAAGACCCACCTCTTAAATGAAATGCACAAATCTTTGAAAGACACAACTACCAGCATAGCCAAGAAACAGATAAGCCAAATAACCTTATTACTATTAATGAAGTTGAATTTCAAGTTCAGAGCCTTTAAAACTCCAGGCCTAGATGGCTTCAATGATAAATTCTTACCAAACAGTTAAAAAACAATTCCAATTCTACACATACTCGTACAGAAAACAGAAAAGAAACACTTCCAAGAGTGAGATGGGGCCAACATTATTCTGACACCAAAACCAGAAGAGATTACAAGAAAACAAAACAGATATTCTTCATGAATATATATGCAAAAATTCTTCAAAATTTTTAACAAATTGAATCCAGTAATATGCATAAAAAGAATAATTCATCATGACCAAAGGGTTTTCCTCAGGAATGTAAAGTTGGGTTGACATTCAAAAATCAACCAACATATTTCAACATAATGCTAGAAGAAAAGAAAAAGGAGTGTACAGTTATGCTAGGGAAGGTATTTGACAAAATCTAAAACATATAAGTAAAAATTTAAGATGACAGCAGAAATAATTTCTTAAGTAATATGGTTAAATGCCAAAAGAAAAAAAAATGTTGGGCATCGATACAGTGTGACAAAATGCCAAATCTTTGCATACAATCAAATATAAACCCTATTTCTTATGAAAGTTAATTACCTAGAAGAAATTAAGAAGTGGTCTTAGAAAGTAATTTGATTTATTTTAATATTAAATATGCCTATTTAGTACAAATATGCATATTTACTAAGTCAAAAATTAAAAATAATTCCTCTATGTTGAAAATGCCTGGATTAGAGTATTTGGCCTTGGACCAATTTTAAAAGAGCATCAGAAAAAAATATCAATAGAAGTTTCTAACATGTTATGGGTAAACCTTAAAGTGACTAATTAACATATGGATGGCATTATTCCCTGAGAGAAGGCAAGTAAATGATACTATTTGTCAAATTATTATAGGAAAGTTGCTTTTTCTTTTCAAATCTCACTTTCCTGTCTTATTTTAAGAAGACATTGTGCTAGCTAGATTCATTCTAGTCAACATACATTTACTGACCACTTGCTATGTGTCAAAGACTTTGCAATATATTGGAGATATAGCAATGAGGGAGAGGGCAGGTATAAAATTCCCTCCCTCATAGAGTTTAAAAGAGATAAAAAATACATAAAATATGTATCATGTTTAATGTTGTGCCAGTTAGGGTAGAGTTTCAATTTAACTGGCTTTGGAATCTGACCCAGGGACTGGTGGAACACACTTCCAGGTGTGTCTGGTAGATCATGGAGGCATGACCTTGGAGTCCATGTCCGGTCCCTCATCATCTACTCTGGTACTCTTCTTCTGTTCTTCCCAGCCACCATGACCTCAGCCATGCCCTCCCACCGTAAGTTTTAACCCTTGGAACCAGCAGACCATGGAATGAAATCGTGAACCAAATTAAACGTCTTCTCCCTTAAGCTGTGTGAATTGAGGATTGTGTTCAGCAACAGGAAAAGTGGTTAACACAAATGATGTTATGGAATGAATCTTGAATGTCCCCTAAAGGTCCATGTCTCAAAGGCAAGGGCTAGGTAACCTGCATTAGCACTACTGGAAGGTACAGGAACTTTTAGCAGGTGGAGCCTAAGAGAAGGAAGTTAAATCTCTTGCCACTCCCTTGAAGGGGAAGTTGGAACTCACCTATCTTTCTCCCTTCCTTTCTCTCTTTCTCTCCCCCTCCTTCATTTCCCCTATTCCTCCTGGCACCAGGACGTAAGCTCTCTACCACGTACTCCCTACCATGATATCTGCCTTTCCAGAACCCAAAGCAATAGGGCCAAGCAACCATGACCTAAAACCTCTAAAACTGTGAGTCAAAATAAATCTTTCCCATTTTTAAGTTGTTTATCTCAGGTATTTCATCACAGTGCTGGAAAGCTACTACAAACAGCAATAAATACTATGGAGAAAACTTAAGGAGGAGAGGGAATAGAATGTATTGGGGTGGTTTTCAGCAGGGTTATTAGGAAACTGGAAGATTTCTAGGTTCACTTTCAGTTCAAAACTCCAATGATTTTCTTCTGTGTTGACTACGAAGCATAAAAACACATAATGAACCTCTGAACCTGACCTCTTTAAATTTATACATTCTATCACCTTACTTTGTGTGTCAACACTTACATTTTAGAAAAACAGGATTAAACAGACATTTTTCCATACTGAGACAAAGCATATGCTGTCATGTAATGAAACAAGTAATTTCCCAGTCTTGCCTTGGGAGAGGAAGAAAAATAAAACCTAGCAATTTCTCCTAGGACAAAGGTTCTAAAAATGTAGCATTTTTGTGCACTACAGAAAGGATTAAAATCAGCTATTCTTTTCTCTCCCTTCAATATATTTATGGTCTGGAATTTAGTTTTTTATTGGTACTAAATTACAATGAGTGGTTTAACAGTTTTAAAAATGGAAGGTTTTTCCATAGACAAAGAAAGCCATGTGAATAAAAGAATTATTGCTGTACTCACTACAGCTACCATATTCTGTATGCCCGATATGTGCCAGGTACAGCACTATTTTATATATTAGGCCAAACTATAGAAAATTGCCATTTATAGGCCAAAATCAGCAACTTTATACAGTTTGAACTAATATATTAATTTCAAATTCCATGAGCAAGAAAAATGTGTATGTTAATTGCATTGCTGCTTTCCTACAATTCTGAAATTATTGTCAACAAATCTTTTTCTTTTGTTTGTGGATGTAAAGGCCTTCTGCCAAGTTGACAGAGGTGCTAAGTATCATAATTTGTAGCACAAGTAAAAGCTATTCATGCCCATGTATCTTTAAGAAAAGTTCAGTTTATTAGTAATATTCACTATTTGGCTTACAAAGATAGAATCATTCCAAAACTGACAAATTTTTTTTTCACTAGGAAGAGTATAAAGTAACCTAAAATTATATTAATATCTTAAATCTTCTCATTTGGCTTGGGATTTCAACTTCTTTAGAAATACCTCACAAAAAGAGTATTTCCCAAAAGAGAACACTTGTCTACAAACTAGCCAACTATGCTCAATTCAAATAATTTTTTAATTCATCTTTTAAAAGTAGATTAGTCACTATAGTTTATTTTTTTCATTCACTACACAGTTCATATTTAGAATTCACATACACAAGACATTAATAAAATAGCCTGTAAATTATCTTCTAAGCAACTTTATGCACTCTCAAGTTTCATCTACAGAACAAGGCAGACACTTTGTAAGATTCATTATTAGCAGATGGGAGACACTGTTTACAAAATTCAAATTTCATAAGACATCTCAATAAAACATTAAGAAAAATAATAACAATAACAACTACCTAAATTTTTTGGAAAAAAGAATTCAAGAAGAAAATGATAATCCCTTTAAGAAAACAAGGTGTTTAAAAACCTACCAGCTCATTGCTTGTAGACTTGAGTCTTAGTTTTTCTTCAATTTCTTTTCCAATCTTCTGAACAGTTACCTGAGTCTGTTTAATTGCACACTGGGCTCTATGA